CTTAGGAACAGCAGCTGTTTTTTTCACTTAGCTTATTTAAAAAGTATTATCATTAAATAGGTACTATCTGCACGTGATATAGATTTTCACAACACAAAAAGGTATGAAACAGAAAAAGAATTTCTTTTCACTTCCTCTCCAAGCCAACTCCCAGGAGGTGACACATATATGAGCTAACTTTTTTCACATGTATACAAGCTATATATCTCTTTATTTAAAAAAACATAAATGAAGGCATAATTTACTGTTCATAATCTTGATACAGCACTAACAAAATCTTCACCATAAGCATAGGATTACCTAACATATATATTTTTTTGAGTTGGAGTCTCACTCCGTCGCCCAGACTAGAGTGCAGTGGCCGCTCCCAGCCACCGCAGCCTCGACCTGCTGGGCGCCGGCGATCCTTCCGTCTCAGCCTTCCAAGTAGCTGGAACTATAGGCGTGCGCTACCACACCCGGCTAATTTTTTTTTTTTTTTAAATTTATTGTAGAGATGAGGTCTCACTTGCCCAGGCGGGTCTCGAACCCGCAGGCTCAGGCAATCCACTCACCTCAGCCTCCCCAGGCGCGGGATTACAGGCTGAGCCACCGAGCCCGGCTACCTAACATTTTAAAGTGTAAATTCTTTACCATCAATGGTGGGGGGACAGAACAAAATAAGTAAATGGGAGCTTAAGTTTGATACTATGTTTGGACCCCTATTTTATAGAATCCAAAGTTTTGACTCTCAAAGATATAACCAGTGACCATGAACCCTGCAATATCAGATGGAATGGCACTTCTAGGACTGCATACTTCACATTTTTTAGATTGTTCCTTTCTTCATTTATTTCTTCAATCAGTCAGTCAACAAACATTTCAGATTCTGTCATGTGCCAGACTGTGGAGAGCTGGAGATAAAAACTGCGAATAAGCCGGGCTCAACTCAAAAAAAACCAAACAAACAAACAAAAACTGCGAATAAGATGGGTGCAGCCTCTAACAGAAGGAGTTGTAATCCAGTGGATTCTCTGTTGATGTGACCTGTCTTCTTGTATTTTCTCCATACTTTATTCTTTTGGGGGGAAAAGCACTTAAAGCACTCATGAGTTTGTTGATTCTAAAATATAATCTGCTAATACAAATTAAAAGCATTTTTCATTTCAAAAAATAATAAAACCTAAGAAATAATTTTCGAATGGAGAAATTTATCTTCGAGTGGGATCTTCCTGTATGTTGGTTTCTGATAAAGCCAGTCCAATTTCTCTCTTTTATATCCAAACTCAAATGACCTGTCTCTTCTAAATGCTGTTTTTTTTGCTGGCCTCTCGCTTCTTACCATTCCACTGAAATGGACTGAAGAACACAAATAACATTACCATGAAATCCAGTGATCTGTCATTAGAACTTTTCCATCCTTTTATGGCATTTTAGTTTTTTAAAAATCATTCCTGGTCGGAAGCGGTGGCTCAAGCCTGTAATCCCAGCACTTTGGGAGGCCGAGGCGAGAGGATTGCCTGAGCCCCTGTGTTCGAGAACAGCCTGGGCAACTTGGTGAGACCTTATCTCTATAATAAATCAAAAACTTAGCAGGGCATGGTATCACACGCCTGTAGTTACGGCTACTTGGAAGGCTGAGGCGGAAGGATCTCCGGACCCTAGCAGGTTGACACTGGGGTGGCCATGAGCGTACCACTGCACTCCAGCCTGGGTGACGGAGTGAGACTCCAACTCAAAACAACAACAACAACAACAAAACAAAAACCATTCCTTCTGCATTGAAAAACGATTATCCTGAGGTTTACGTAGCACCATTCTTGTTTAGCTTCCCTCCCACTTCTCTATGGAATCATTTTTTTCTCCTTTAAAAGCTTTTCTGCTTTTGATCTCATAATTTGTGAGTTCTTCAGATTGCTACTACTTGAGCAAGCAACACGTATATTTAAAATTGCCCCCCCAAAACAGAATTGCCACTTATGCTCTATTATTTCTAGTTTCCCAAAGCGTGCTCTGTGGAACACTGTTCCCATAAAACTACGTTTAAAAACAGACCATCAGGAGTCATGGAAAACACTTCTCCCTTGCCTACACATTGTACAGAGATCATAAAATTAAATCTTCTCTTTCCTGATCTTACTTCCAGATGGAGTGAACATATGACACAGTTCTGGCCAATAAAGTATTAATGGAAGCCTACTGACCCTTCACCTTCGTTATTACATTTAACGAGGTCTCAGTAGACAACTTGTGATTCTGAAGGAAGAGTGAAGTGAATTGCAGAGACACTGCAGAGCACTGTACCCCAGCTAGCACCCGCCTACTTTCTGAGTTTTGGTTATGTGAGATGAATAAATCTCTATTTGTTTGGACTTCCATAATCAGGTGACTTATACCTTGCAGCTGAACACATTCTTAACTAGATATTAAAATTCACCATTATTTGCAATAGCAAAAACATGGAACCAACCATGCTGCCCATTGAAAAAAGACTGGATTTTGAAAATGTGGTATATATACATGATGGAATATTTGCAGCCATAAAGAAGGACAAAATTTTGAACTCCGCAGCTACTTGGATGGACTTAGAGGCTATAATACTGAGTGATCTATCACAGAAAACAAAGAACCAAGTATCACATGTTCTCACTCATAAGTGGACCTTGAACAACTATCATAATACCATAAGAAAGGGGTTGGCAGTAGTGGGAAACTGCCAAGGGAAGGGTGGAGCACACCTTATCAACATGGCTACCTGCATAATGAACATTTGTATACCTAACTCTGAATTGTACCTCACATATTTAAAATAAAAAAAAAATTTTAAATGATGCACACTATACATCCCTCTTAGAATGTCAGTGTGCAGCCGGGCTCGGTGGCTCAGCCTGTAATCCCGCGCTTTTGGGAGGCTGAGGTGAGTGGATTGCCTGAGCCCACGGGTTCGAGACCCGCCTGGGCAGCAAGACCTCATCTCTACAATAAATCAAAAAATCAGCTGGGCATGGTAGCGCATGCCTGTAATTCCGGCTACTTGGAAGGCTGAGGCAGAAGGATCACAGGAGCCCAGTGGGTCGAGGCTGCGGTGGCCGGAAGCGGCCACTGCACTCCAGTCTGGGCGACAGAGTGAGACTCTAACTAAAAAAAAAAAGAAAAAGAAAAAAAAAGAAAAAAAGAATGTCAGCGTGCTCATTAGCATATTAAAGAACCTGAGAAATTCTCAAGAAATATGTTGAATTTTGTTTAGTGCATGATTTCCTAAATTTATTTGCTCAAGGAGTGCTTTTCTTCCTGTTCTAACTATTCACACATCATAGAGGTCTGCTTCTCAACATCCTTGCAACATCTACATCGTCTGGAAACTTGTTAGAAAACCAGAATCTTAGGCTCCACCCAGAATCAAAATTTAGATCTTTAACAAGATCGTCAGATGATTTGTATGACATTAACATCCGAGAAGTGATACTTTGGAAAACATGGGCTCAGAGAGTAATGTACAACTAATCTTCACATCTTTATGTGACATTGGGATTTTGAAGGCATCTATTTTTACCACCCCTTAATGCCTACTTCACTAATAATCACACCTTGTTGTCACTGAATGCTTAGTTTGTGCAAAGCATTATACTAAGTGCTTTACTTGCCTGACCCTCAAAGCAACCCTATGAAGCAGAAACGATCATAATCTTTATGTTATAGATGAGATATCTGACGCTCAGAGAAGTTAAGTAGCCTACCCAAGGTTGCACAGCGCTAAAGTGGCAGAATCCTTGGTTTAAGGGTTGAAGAATCACAAAGGATATCGCCTGTCTAACCTTCTTCTGTTTCCATGCACTGTGTACTTTATACTTTACACATGTGGTTCCCTCTGCCCACAGTGATCTCCCCACACACACCTAGTTTAAAAATCTCAGCTCAGCCGGGCTCGGTGGCTCAGCCTGTAATCCCGCACCTTTGGGAGGCTGAGGTAAGTGGATTGCCTGAGCCCATGCGTTCGAGACCTGCTTGGGCAACTTGGCGAGACTTCATCTCTACAATAAGTCAAAAAATTAGCCGGGCGTGGTAGCGCGTGCCTGTAGTTCCAG